TCCGGTGAGCCTTTTGCACAAACTTTTAAGCTATTGAATAATTGCTTTTCAGAAGTCAGACACCAGTAATTATTAATTAATTTATTATTTCTTGAGAACAGAAACCTGTTTTACGTCATATATTTAGCCCAGTCGTAGCCCTGCTGCTCTTAATCCTGGCCAACAAAGAGGCGCACATTGACACAACAATTTGATTCACTGGTGTATGCAAAAACATGACGTTCAACACGGACCCAAACCTTCTCTTTGGTGTGGTTGGATCTGGATACCTGGAGGTGTCATTTCTGGCTCAGAGGTTGACGTGGACTGACCCGCCATTTCAGTTACGGTTAAGGCTAACCGTTGTTTCAAGAACTTGAAATGTCAGCCCATGCATAATAAGTTAAGTTGCACGAGACCAAAGGCAGATGTCAAGTTGTAGGCTTCAAATCGTTGCTATAGTTTTAAAAATATGTAATTTTTTATTCAGATTCGGCGTTCCAGCAGCACACGATTAAAATTATTTCCACATCGTAACGCGATCTTTAATATGCAATTATATTTTTAAATAAGGAACTCGAATGACTATTAGCCTAATATAAATCAATAGACTGTCGAACCTGCCCAGGTCGACCACTTCGTTTGTTTTAGTAAGGTTTTAGGGCGCTCGCAACTGCATAAGGTTATCATATGAGCGTCAAGGGGTGGATGTCAACAGAGAAGTCCAAACGGAGAATCAGGCTTACTCTGTTCACCTCTCTAGTCTCAACAGCACAAAGTCTGCTTCGACTATCAAGGCACCCGGAAATAGCGGGTCACAAGAGAGGGACAAAAAGGTACCAAAAAGGTAGAGGGAAAATGACGATAGAGAGGATTAGGAAAGAAAAAGCAGCAGTTCCCCCTATGTCGTTCCGGGACAGTATGAGAATGACATTGATAAATCAGTCCATTTATAATTCTACTGAGCATAAGAACATGTTAATATCCCACTTTAGAAATGGTTTAAAGACAACTTTAGTCTGTAGTGCTGCCCTGATTTTATTTTATTTTCTTTTTTTTTTTTAATTTAATTTATTTATTTATTTTATTTTATTTAATTTTTTTTTTGGGGGGGGGCGACCACTTCGTGTCGAAGAGAAAAAGTAATCATCATTTACTCAGTGCCCATTAGCACGATCGGTTCAGTTCGGTTCGACTCGGTAGGTGAGGCAAGACAGATTGAGGGCGCAAAGCGACCATCGTGGCAAAAACTGATCGCCCGACTCGCGGCCTAAAAAAGAAACGCGCTTGTTTTCAAGGCCGCGAGTCGAGCGATCGGTTTGTATTTGAGAACTGATCCTCCAATAGGTACTGGGTATAATACCGGATGCCTGTTGGCTCGACCAGGTCGGGTAGTGTCGGTTTGCTAGCCAGGTCGAGGGTGCAAATCGGTTATCGTGGCACAACCCGATCGCCCGACTCGCAATCTCAAAAACAAACGCGTGTGCTTTCTGGCGACGAGTCGGGCGATCGCATCCGACCCCATTCCATCCTGGCACTAGGTGTATAATAAGACAGGTGGACATCATGGACTGTTTCCCTATATTAAAGCGAAAGAAAAAAAAAACCCCGCAAAGGTGCTATTGGGAAGTGGTCGTTTGTACAGGGGTTGCCATTGACATGTGGTCGTTGGAGCAGGTTCGATTGTACATTTCGGGTTTCTACAGTTATGACATTCTGCAATCGGAGGAAGGACTTTCGAAACGAGCGACCACACCAACAAGAAAGAAAGAGAAAAAGACAGACTTGCAGAGCCAAAAATAAAGAAGAAAAAAAAAGCACAAGCTAAATCTTTGATTCCAAGTCGCAAGCAAGAATGTTGAATGTTCAGCTCTGGCGTAATAAGAAAAAACAAACCCATAGCACAATAAAAGAGGAGATATGGTCGCTTTTAAGGACAAGCGGGCTAACCCAGATTTCGGGGGTTTCCAGAAATCTTGACCAACACCAAAAGTGGGCATTGCCCTACCTATAGGAGGAGTTTGGATTCACTGGTGTGTATATTTGTTTGGTTATAGAGAAAGTTCTCCACGTCTTTTAAAGAAACTGAACAAGGGGCAAAAACTTTATCTTTGATTTTCTAAAAACAGCATTTTCCGGGATAGCCCCCTTGTGCTTAAAAGTGTCCATATAGAGAAACGCTTTATTGCGCCAAGAAATAAAATACAAGTACACAGCGGCGTTTTGTGGGGTGGGACTAGCCGCTTCAGACCCACCTGGTTTACCTCCCCAAAAAGTTTTGGTAAACGTTGGCCTATAGATCTAACACATTTTTTTTCCTTTCAGAGGTCAAGCTCGTTTGATCATAAAAACTCTTTTAATTTTATTTGATCTGAAGCCCAACAAATCGTCTGTCTAGAAGACTTGCTTTTCAAGGAGAAGAAAAAATGTAATTTATTATAATTTATTTGCTTGTACAAACAGAGAATTAATTGTATCTCTTTAAAAAACGAAAAACAAAAGCAACTCAGATTGATTAGCCTACCATAACATTTACGAATAACCGTGGATGTTCTTTTAATTTCAATTGCTACGTTATACAGAGAGGGAGGGAGGAGGGGAGAGAATAGAGCTGTGTGTGTGTGTGTGTGTGTGTGTGTGTGTGTGTGTGTGTGTGTGTGTGTGCGCGCGCGCGGAAAGGGGTTGTTGTTTGCAAGGGGATGCAATCACTTAAAATCACGAATTAGCCTAGGTAGCAGAGTTGTCTTTTCATACTTTACCGGAAACTGAGGAATTTGGAAGGCTCCAAACAGCCTTCCATCCGGGCTACCTCATAAAGATAAATGCCAAATTGGCTTTGGTTCTTAAAATTAATCATTGTTTGATCCACATAATGAACTTATCTTTTGGGATAAAAAGTCTAGCCATTAAATATTTATTTCCCATATAAAACGATATGATGTACTTATCTCTTTTCTGCGTCCTTTATTAAATATGTATTTATCAATCAGATTGTTTTTTACTTTTAGCTCAACAACTCCTCAAGTATCCGACATTCTATTGAAAGTGACGTAGGTGTAGTGTCTTGGCGACTTGGCGTGTGTTGAACAACGTCCTTGTGTGAAAAAGTTAATTGTGCACAGTTGATTGAGCCAAATTTGTTCGTCTGATCCTTGTGCCGAGGTTCAAAATGTTTGGTGCTCCAACAGCACCGAAGCGCCTGATGGATGGTATGTTTGCTAGGAATTTCTATGACCTGTTATGCTCTTTGGAGGAGTTCAACCCTCGTCAAATTGTCAATCAGCTGTCGTCCATCCAAAAGTCTTGAATGATGCCAGTCCAAGCATGTTACATTATTACCATCATCATCTAGACTCTAGTCTTGTCAGTAAATGTGATGAAAACGAACAGTCTAGAATCTAAATTAAAGTATGGTGTCTGGCATTCAAGAGGGGGGGGGGGTCGCAGGTGTACAATTTGGCCCTACAGTAGAGATGGGGCGAGCGGACGGACGGGTTCGTGACTCGCGGACTCGGTCAGAGCGAGCGGGTAACGGAGTTACGTACGGCCATGAGAGCGAACTGCGAACAGTTTGTTTTTTGGGGTCCGCTCCACAATTTGACTCTCTCAGCGAGCGGACTGCAGACCTCAAGCCTCAAGTCAGTTCGTTTTTTGGGTCCGCTCCACAATTTTATTCACTGGGCGGGCGGGCAAACGGGCGAACTCTAGCAGACGAGATACTCGACGCAAGGTTAGGCCCACGGTTTATTGTTTGTAAATTAGGCCTAATGTTTCAAGCCACAAGCGGTGCCACAGGGAGTGAGAGAGGCTGGTGACGTAGTACTATGCGTGTAACCTTTCACCTTGTGCGTGGTGGGGCACACTGTGTGCGTTCCAATTATCGCAAAGGCCGGTAGGGTGGGAGAAATTTCCGCCACGAACGCCTAGCTACACTGTGAGGCAGGAGGGTGATTTTTAAATTATTCTTTTTTGGGGGGGGGGCGGGGGGTTGTAAGTTGTATGCAATGGAAGGAGTCGCTCCCGCCCGTCCGTCCGCCCGCTCGATTGCATGGAGTCTCTCGGTCCGCCCGTCCGCTCGCTCGCTGAACAAACTGTTGTCTCTGTCCGATGTGTAGCGAGTAGAGAACTACTCTTCATAAGGGGACGGTTCGTTACCCGTCCGCTCGTTTGCAGGTAGTGCCAGCGAGTAGTTTGTTACTCGCTGACGCTAATTTTGCAAGCCCGACCCAACCCTACCCTACAGCCTACATAAGAATCAGGAAGAAACCGGTAGTCCTAAACTAAGCCACTAAGCCTATGCAGTAGGCTAAGGCACAACCACTGTTCATCTGTGCTTGGCATAGAGGGTTTGGGGTAGATCTAGATTTAGGGTTTGGGGTAGGAATAGGGTACGGTACAGTGTCGGGTCAGGGTTAGGTCTTTTTAAAATGTTTTTGTTGGGGTGGTCGCTACGGAAGTCCTTCCTTCAGTTTCAGCAGACGGAACTCAGCAATATAATATAACAACTTGTGACGTGAGTATTCTTAGGGGGTCTCTGCTCACGGCTCAGGCCTGCTGCAGTTATTTCCCCTCAAAATCCAATGAAAAGGAGCCAACTCTGATCAAACTGGTACTGGTGGAGTCTCTGATCTGGAAGCTAGTCTGAGACTGACATCAGATGATCAGGACCTTGCTGATCTTGCTCGTGACCACTTCGTATTATCATCAGTGCTTCTTCAACTCTTCCGTATTTTTACGGAAATCCATACTTTCTGCCAGTTCCGTACTTGTTCCTCCATCATTATCAACTCCCTGCGTAAAAATCTGCGTCAGCGTAGGACTAGATCTACCGAAATTCCGTAACAAAAGATTCGTACTCGCCTTCGTATTGTCTTGTATAAATTACGGATATTTACGGTAATTCTCTCGGCAATAGTTTGTTATAGAAACCTTCCAGATTGCGCATTTCCTGCCATCGGCCATTATTCCTCTATGCCACGCAAAGGCTATGCCCCATGCATTCATTGCGGGTTGGTCGGCAGTACATTTTTTGCCTGGAGATTTATCAAAATCTGGCGCACTTTTTGTGCCACTTTCCTCTTTTCTAACGTTCCCTAATTCCGTCTGTCTATCTTCGGATTGTTGCCGTGGTTGGAAAATCTGCGCGTTGATCAAGTATATTGACTTGTGATCTTGGACAGAAAATTACTGTCAGAAAGAAACTTTTTTGCAAATTTGTTGTCTAGATCTAGAGAAATTATTAGTGCGAAGATTCTACGGTACGAGAACGCGATAAGGGTCGCAATGAAAGAAATATGTGCTAAAACTACTAAAATCAAGAAAAATTCGAAGTGGTGTTCCGAGGTTGTGACATGCGACATTCAGACGTGAAAATTTAGGAAAATTAGGGTATACGCTGGGTAACTGTATTGTGAAGGTACATATATAATCATATCTATTCATTATTCCCAGTTTGCCTTCTATCAATGGTGCGATGACAAATTAATTTAATTATAGTAGCAATGGAAAGGGAACCTGCTTTTAAACATTGCCAGCAATGGAAAGATATGTTGGTGAAGAAATCAAACAAGACAAAATCTTGGTGGAAAAATTAGGTAGTATGGGTTGTTGGAAATCTCTTCAAACAGGCTTTCAAATGCCATTTTCAACCCTCTAAAAGTACTAAATTTCAATTTCTTTTTCTGAACCCCCACCGGGACGCTGTCCTGCGGCCCCCAGACCCCCCCCCCCCCCCCCCGCTGAATTTTCCTTACTTTTCAGCTTCAGCTGGTGGAAGCACTGATCATATTGAAATCATTCAGCATTAACGTACCATTGACTGTGCTTGATTTTAATTGATATTATTAACTCACCATGTTGATTACAGGGGTTGAAGCGTGGAACAATGGAGATGAACAGTCAAATAGTGGAGATGGTATGTCTGCAAGGAAGAAAAAGAGGAAAAGTCGCTGGAATACAGATAATGATGAGAAGACTGTCATCCCGGGCATGCCTACCGTCATACCTTCCAACTTGACTGAATCCCAGCAGCGACAATATGTTGGTATGTTTTTCAAGTTCTTTGTGGACCTTATGAAATGGTTGTATGGTATTTTTGGTACATCCATAATGAGATTAAGTAGCTTTTTATGATTCAAATGTGTATTATAGTTCTAAAACTGCTGCAGTCTAATCTTATATATTTGAAATGCATTCTCTATAACTTTGTTCTTGTATGATGATATCTCACAGGTTTGCTTGTGCTCTTATCAGTCTGGATTGTTTAGCAATGCCAATGAAAAGAATCATTTCTACTTCAGCCCTTTTTTATTTGCTGCCTGAGGAAGAGCTGTGTATTCTTATCTTTATGCTTTTTTTATTTTTAAAAATTGGTCCATAAATGTTCAAAGGAAAATATTCTCAAAAGTTGGATGCATGGATGGTCCCTTGCCCTATTTCAAGTACTTGATGGCTGGGCTCAGTGATCACGCAAGGATTTGGGGTCTCATTTGCATGTACAGAAATAGCTGATCTATTTGCACAGCTACTTGGGGGTTTGGGGGGGGGGTAATTCCTGGAAATTGTTTCTGAATATATATAGAACCTTCCAATACTATGGCAGTGTGGAAGGATAGACTACAAGAAAGACAGAGATGACGATTCAGCTTCCTGTAGTTTACAAAAAACTTCAAATGAGAAAATGTTTCCGACAAAAAGATTACTGGGGACAATGCACGTGTAAAGGTTCACTGTCCACATGTAAATAGCCTATTTTATTTTCTTTCATATTGTTTCTCTGACTATTTACCAAGTTTCACAATTTGATCCGGAAATAATGCTGTTGGAATTTGAGAAAGTAAGTAACCTACATTCTTGTACGGTCTAAAGCTAGACCAGCGGCGATGACCTAATTTCAGGCCTAATGCAACAGACTCTATTGGCATTGCTAAATGTTTTCATTTAAAATCAAAACATAACTTTTTCCTGCAGGTTGATTCTATATTGTTGGTTGACTTTTACCTTATTGTTTTGACAAACCAATGCCTTGTTGCTCATACTTGTTCTAATGATTATGTATTTACTTTAGAATTGCTGTAACATGAAATTTATTTCCAGTTTCTGGCTTATGCTTGCATTTAATCATGTTTTGTTGAAAGGTAATGTTGTCTTTTTTTGTTTAACCACTTTTCTTGCAGTTCATCTTCAAATTGAGGAAATTAGCCGTAAGCTGAGAACAGGGGATCTGGGAATTCCTGCTAACCCTGAGCAAAGGTTTGCCTGGTTTAAAGCTGCATTAAAGTTCTGAAGTGAATGCAATTCGGTTGATGGTGCTGACGTGACATCTCCGCTGAATTGTGCTTAACCCTAACAGCAGCTCCATTTATAGTGCAAGTTTGGGAGTTCTTCGGGTTCATCGTCCGCTTTTTGTGAGAGTGGAAAACATGTATAATGGTGGAGTCTCTTTTTTCAGTCCCGTCGCCTATGACTTGTCTTGAGAAAGTGGACATTTTTATGGTTTTGCTATCTTAAATGTGGCTCGGGGCAAGACTGGTCATTAAGTTAAGTTATTCAGAATTTGAGTTGGATAAAGAATGGGCCTACAAGAGTAAAGTAAAAACTCTTTCTTTGGGTTTCTTTGAGTATGTAAAAATTTTCTTTCCCTGTCAAGGGTGGAGGGAGTTGAAGGGATAATACTTAATTCCTGTTGCAGCCATAAAAATGTCCTGAGAATATAGGCTTTAGAACGGGTGTTATTGACTTGTTGACATTTTCATGTTTACCTAACTCAATCTCAGTGATAAATGGCAGGAACAGGTGTTCTCAAGGACTGGTCGGTTCACAGAATGACACAGTGATCTTGTAGTTAGCTCTTCCTTACACAGATGCGTTAGAGTGGATGGAATTTACGCGTTAACTTTTTATTTGTGCAGTGTTGTTGTGTTTTTTTTGTCTGGTATATTCTTTGGTATGACTCGATTCCATTTGCTCTTTACCCCTTGGCGCTGGTGGGTGGTTGGTGGGCACTGTGGCGTTTGCTCTTTCAGCTATTTCCCTTTCGGTGGTTCTGTAATTTTAATGTTTCCCTGGTGAAAAACTCCCCAACTCTGTGGTCTGGAGAATTTATATTATTTTTTTGGTCTGGGGAAATTATGTTTTTGTCAATTTTTTCTTAAGGGTTATTTGGTTGAATTTTTTAAAAATTATAATAAAGCAGCCTTTTTGGAACCAATACTTTAGTGAGGCTGTTCTAAAAAATGCTGTCTTTTGAAGATGGCTCTATTCTTTTGTAAATTGTTTTGGTGTGTGTGTGTGTGTGTCCCAGTTTGTGATATTACATTGTTTGAACATTTTTGTGTGTTTTAGCTTCAAGAACTAGTAAGGAATTTTCATCCCTGTCTTTAGCAATTTTCATTCCCAAAAATTAGGATTTTGTCATCAGAAGGGTTTTGGCTGTGTAGTCTTGGAAAAAGTCTCTTTTGATGGTGGATATTCTACTTGGCATTTTCTGAGCCAAATTCATTTCCTGCTGATGATATTCCTCCTCAAGTTCATCATATTTCTCTTTCTTTTACGCCGATGTTTTGTTTGACAGAAAGAGGTTGTGACCTAGTTAAAACTTTGATGAAACAGTTTGTGTGTGAAGAAAGTGAGTCAGTCTCTTGTGGAAACTCCAGGGATCATATTTCTTTTCATCACAAAAGAAATTGCCTGGAATTATGGTTGAGCTTTGTAAAATCATCAAAATTAGGATATTAATGAAGGGTAACTTTTTTCTTCACAAGATAAATTCAAAGTAGAGCGATTTTGAAAATTGAATATGCTGGCATGTTTTGGACGCTGTTGAATTTACTTGCTCAGTGAATTTAGCTTTTCTTTTGTGATCTAGATCTTAATTCTCTTGTCTCATGGCTGTGGGAGTTCTGCCGTAGGTTCTTACGTCAACCTCTCCCCAGGTTTTATTTCCTGTTGGATCTAGAATTACGGTTTCTGAATGTCCCTTTACACCACTCTCACCCAATGTACTTCCTGTGTTTTGTTGCTGTTGTTGTATGATAATTATACCCTGTGTAAACTAATCATTATGACAGAGGAGGTGTTGTCGACGTCCTGAAAAGATGGCTTGTCTCCAACAAAACGCTAATCTGTAACTAATGAAAAACAAAAAGATAACTAAACAATACTTTGTTTTGATTCCTCTTTTTGGCTGCAGGTTAGGTGAATTTTGCAAGGCCTCGTTGCTGTAACACCATTCAACAGTGTGCTTAGTTTGTGGTTGTGTTGGTGCTGAGAGATGGATGAGCTAATGAATGAAAAGTGTTTAGGTTTAAATATTCTAGATAAGCCTTTATAGTGCAACAGAAACAATCCAAATTGACCATTGATCAATGATTACGTTAGCACAAAGCTTTGCAGTCATGATGTAATTATTACATTTATCTTTGAGTGGAAGGTGTGCAAGATGCATGCATGAAGAAAGCTCATTGGAAGGAGAAGAGTGTTTGAGATGGCATGATTGCTCTTTTTAAATAATTATTTTTTTTTCGGAAGGATGCTATTTAAAGTGAAGAATATTCGTAGTTTGTAAAAGTAAATGTTAAAACTTTTGTCTTTTTACTTTTAGATATCAGCCAAGCTGTGGTTGGTAGACAGCTGATGATAAAACTGTATTTGTTTATTTTTTTGCTTTCAAGGTCTCCGTCCCCCGAGCCAATCTACAACAACGAGGGCAAGAGGCTGAACACCAGAGAGTACCGGACGCGTAAGAAGTTGGAGGAAGAGCGCCACAAGCTCATCCAAGAGGCGATCAAATTGAACCCAGAATTCAAGCCACCCAGTGACTACAAGTGAGGATGACCTGATTGATCTGTCTCTTCCACCTGCTTTTTTTTGCAGCTTATTCCCTCATGACATTAAAGGGAAAATGAGGATTGTAATGTTAATTCTGATTATTAAATTTAGGCTGTAAAAGACTTAGTTGTATGTATTGTTCAAATTATTGGACTTGAAGCAACATTTAATTTACTTATGGCATTGTTTTAGTATGGAGACTGACAAGATAATTAAGAATGTTATAAATAAATAAATAACCGCAGGCTTTATGGCATGAACAGATGAAATAAAGCAGCAGAAACCAATAGCTGAGATTTAAAAATCAGATTTCTTGCATTGTACACCTGTCATTGCTTGCATGGTACACAGTAGTGAGAGTTTAAGTCTGTCATTTAATTGTTGGCCAGCTGTTCACAAGTACTCAGCCCAAAATGTTTATATTTGTTTATGAAATTGCAGTTTCTTAGCATATGGAGTAACTTACTTGAAATTCAACTTTAAGATGTTGGAAAAAAAGCAGGAAAGAATGCATAATTTGAATTCAATTTTTGAAAGATACAACAGTTTTTCCTCTCTGAAAGATTGTGCTCACTGGGCTTAAAACAATTAAAATGGGAAATGTATGATCTTACAGTCTGAGCTTCCACATCTTTTGTTGTGCTGATGCTACAATTATTGTTTGATTATTGCAGGCCTCCTGTCGTACGAGTCAGCGACAAGGTGATGATTCCTCAAGAAGAACATCCGGACATCAACTTTGTTGGCTTGTTGATTGGGCCCAGGGGCAACACTCTCAAGACCTTGGAGAAAGACGTAAGTCTCATTTTCATACTAAAACATTGTAACTTCGTTGTGTCTGCTGTAAAAGTACATTTAGTCAAATATTTGCTGGCAATGTAGTTTTAAGTATGACTGCAGCAAGAGAGGGGTCATAGGGGTGTTGTGGCTTAGTGGTTAGGCTTTTGGACTTGCAGCTGTTAAGTCATGGGTTCGAATCTTGCCAGGGGCCCGGCAATGTATCCTTGGGAAAAGTATGATACATAATTTTCTTTACTGCACCCAGATGGGAACAAGTACCTGGCTATAGACGGCGAAAGATCTTTCAGTTTGTTAGTGTTTAAGCACTTAATCTGCTGCTTGTAATGTATGTTTCTGAGGAAGCGAAGAATGTTTCTGACGACTGTTGAAGGATCTGCGGGGGTAATAATACAGCATAAAGCGCCTAGAGCTTGCCAGGGATGGAAATTTTCTGTAAATTTATGGACATCCGTAATTTTGATTTGCTCCGTCATTTTCCACAAATGTTCTTTCAATGATGAGCAGTTCTTCTGTGTGTTCTAATCTACAATTGATTAGTGTATTTTTCCAAACCTGTATAGCCCGCGAAAAGTTCAGTAAATTTGGACTGATCAGTTTCCATCCCTGGCTTGCTATTGATGAGTCACAATTGTGTCATCTGCAATGGGTTTATTGTGTCCAAAGTAGATCATACTCAGAACTTGCAAGTACTAATTCATGTCAAGTTTTTGTATGGGATAAACTTTTAAAAGCTTTCAAAGTGGTGGGGTAAACATTTATGGCTTGGTGATGTAACATTTACATTATGTGACCAGTAGACTAACGACAGACTTCATGTTTTGATTGTTGCTCCATTTCAGACTGGTGCCAAGATTATCATCCGGGGCAAAGGGTCGGTGAAGGATGGTAAGATTGGCAGGAAAGATGGGCAGCCACTTCCCGGAGAGGATGAACCACTGCATGCTTATGTAACGGCAAACAATCCGGAGAATGTGAAGAAAGCAGTAGAAAGAGTAAGTAAAGTTTTTCAGACTTTCTACACTTGTTACCAATCCATATTTGCTGTAGTTGTGAGTGATTATTTATCAAACAAATCACTTTGTAATTTGTAAAGTTATTCTATTGCATGAATTTGTAATCTGACTGAGTTGCACAATAGGTATAGAAACAATGTTCGTGATTATAAAGAGCTTTTGATTTTAATAGAAAGGCGTTTAACCATGAAGTCTTAAGTTAAAGTGGCTTAACTCATTATTCACTGGATGGTTATTTGATTTGTAGTTTTGTGTTTTTCTTCATTCTGTAAGCATTGATTGCTTAGGTAAGCGCTTAATTTTCTCCCAAAGTTGTATTTCGATGGTCACTTTTCACTGGGTAGTGAATTCTCTTTGTTTTATTGTATTCTGCAGATAAAAGAAATTATTAAACAGGGAATAGAAGTGCCTGAGGGTCAAAATGACTTGCGTCGGCAGCAACTGAGAGAACTGGCATTGCTGAATGGAACACTCAGGGAGAATGATGGCTTGTCGTAAGTCTGCTTGTAGTTGTTACAAGATACAGTTAACAGGGGGGCTGAATTTTCAGATTTCTGAAATTGTCTGGATTTTGTACTTCATGCCATTCATTAACAAGTTGTGGTACTTTATGTAAAAACACTTGACACAAGATGAATTAAACTAGGTGATCTGTACATTTTGAATCCCCCAGGCATGTTTCCACTGGGTCCAGAAAGCTCAGGGTCTTTTTTTTTTTCTTTTTCTTTTCTTTTTTTTTTTTGTAGTCATTTGGCACCTCTGAGTTAAAAGCTAGCATTATTCTGCACCTTAGTAAGAATTCAGTAGCGCAAAAGCATCATGTTTGAGTTTTATTAACTCTTTTCTTTCTCTCTATTGTGTGGGTATGGTTTCTGTTGAAAGGGCAAAACTTGTGTGACGTTTACGTAATGCTGTATCGTAACTTTTTAACACAAGTTTATTGCTTAGTGGTTACAATCCGATCAACTTTTTAAAATCTTTTAGCAGGGATTGGACAAGGCACATCTCCGTCGGTGTGATATTGTAATCCTTGATATGATTACGTTGTTTTTCAAATCTTGGTTTGTGGTGTAATCCTTTCTTTCCCTTTTCTCTCAGGAAACTAAGACAGATTGCTGAAAGTCAGACGATTGTAACAAACACAATTCTTTGTCAAATATGTGGTGGAACAGGGCATATAGCCCAGGATTGTAAACAAAAGAGGTGAGTTTGACTGCTCTTTGATTAGGCACCATGTTTCTGGGCATTTCTGTCTAGTGTGAGTTTTGGAAGTATTTTTATAAATGTTGATTTTTTTATTTTTTTTAAAGGTTAAATTATTGCAGTAAAACGATATAATTGTATAGAAAGCATGCAAAATTTCAACGTTTCCGTTCCCTATTTTGATTGTATTTGATTTTGCTTTTCTGTTGTTTTTTTACAACTTCTTAGGAATTATAAGTATTTGAAAATAGCCACCAAAGTGTTGTGGTATCTTTGAGCTCCAAAACTTGACAGTCGCATGATAAGAGTACTAAGCATTAAAATCTGTTCTGATCAATAGAGTGGCATGTATTTCATTTTCTTTTTTCGTGGACACTACAGCAATTATTTTTTTAGTTTTTACCCCATTCCTCTCTCTTGATTAAGTGAACGAGCATTGTTTTTTCATAAGTGACGTTTTTTGCTAAATATCTTTGCAAGAGCTCTGTTTTGGCATATGAACAACTGTAAGCTAATTTTGTTTGTTCAGTAGAATGATCCTCTGTGCGTTTTTCCTTACAGACCCGGTGACACATTCCGAATGCAGCAGATGCAGAATCCGGCTGAGAAAGCAAAAATGGACAGTGAGGTAAATCTATCTTTACTGGAAATAAATAACAAGAACAGCTATTTAGAAGTTACACTTTCAAAAGTGTTTTGCTGGAGAATTTTGGGAATTGCAAAAGTGAAAAGCTTTGAATTCATATACATTTATTCGAAGAACCTTAACAGGAACTACTCTTTCTTTCCTATCAAACATTTATCGTGCTTCTCTTTCCTCCTCCTTTTCTTGGTATGTTACTCTCTTGTAGCACATCTAATCCTCTGCACTTTAATGACTTGTTAGTGTTGCGTGTTGCAAATGCTGTTAAACTTAGTAAAATCAAAACTAATCTTCGTTCGCTCTATTGTGTGTGTGTGTGTATCACTCTTTTCTAGCATTTACTTACTGGTTGTTATTGTCTTTATGTGTTGCTCTCAACTCAAACCCAAATGTGCAGATGAGGAAATTTGACAGACAACTTATCCACTGCAACAACCAGGCGAGGTTTCTTTTTTTTTTTTTTTTACTAGATGATGTTCTAGTGAAATGACATCATGGGTCAAGCAGTTTGTAGTATTAACTTGAATGTTGCAATTTAGAATTTATGATTATGTTTGTATGGGTGCTTGGCGGGTGCTCTGATGTGATTTTCTCGTTCTTTCCTATCTATCATTTATCGTCCTCATCTGTCCTTCTTTTCTTTGAATGCTACTCTCTAGTAACACATGTTATCTTTGGCATTGATGTGATATATTTTGTGTGGGAAGTGCAGTATAACTCTTGACTAAATTAAATTTATTCTATTTTACTGGTGTGTGGTATTATATGTGAAGTCTGTTTGTTTCAGTACATGTCTCTGATGGCTGAGCTCGGGGAAGGACCGCCCCCACCCAAGAATGACGTTCCTCCACCATCACAGCCCAACTTTGGCAGACCTTTGCTGGCCAACCCTCCCCCAAACCCCATGGTGAGTCCCCTAGAATGGCTGTGTTTGTCACATATACAGTCTAAATTGTCCCGGCCGGCCACCCATTGCCGAGGAGAAAAGTGGTTATCTTAGATAGGTGGATGTCTTGACAGTTTCGTTATAATTATATTGTAGAAAAGGCACAAGGGAGGAAGTGGTCATTAAAAATTGTCCAAGATAGCCACCCATTGCCTTGGAGAAAAGTGGTTGTCATGATATTTTTAAAAACACAAGTGGGAGAGTTTTCGTTGGAAATTGTCCAAGACAGCCACCCATGCCAAGTGGATGTCTTGGACAGTCCTTAAGATAGAGAAAAGAAACGCACGATGGGAAGGGGTCATTTGTACAAAGGTAATCATCAATGACAGGTTCAACTGTGTATACATGTGCATCAGTTCAGTATAAAAAGAGACGAGTTGTTAGAATAAAGTACCAGAGATGTCATCGTCACCATAGATAGCATACACATGTGTGTCATTTTCACAAAGTTTTCAGAATGAAAAACATGAAATAGGATTTTGTCTTGATATTTTAGTAACGGTTGTATAGTGCATTTTTAAAAAACCCAGTGTTGAGACAGGCATTTGTAAAGCGTGATGCCAAAATTAGTTACTTCTCGGATTTCAGCCCTATGGAAATTGATACATCACGCTTATAGGTGAAGTTTTTATAATTCATAAGTATGAAATAATAAAAAGCATGCAGTACTTTAAAAATATGGCATTAATAGGAAATCTACAAATTTTACCGTGGTGTCGATTTTTTGCCAATATCACCATTTGTGGATTGCGAGAAGTAGCTCATTTTGTCAGCATGCCTCACATTTGCTGTTGATAGACAGATGATATTGATGATTGGGGACAAAAGAACTCGATGACTGATTAGTTGTTTTCCTGTCAATGAACTCACCGTGGCAGATATGAATGACTGATTTGGGGGGGTTTTTCCAGTCAATGAATTTACTATTGCTGATATTAATTACTTGATTTGTTATTTTCCAGTCGATGAATTTACTGTTGCAGATATTAATAACTGATTTGTTATTTTCCAGTCGATGAACTCGCCGTGGCAGATGCCGAACCGTCCCCCCAACATGCCTCTGCTGGGCCGGCCGCCCATGCAGCAGTCGAATCAGCAGATGAACCCCATGGGGCGTATGCCCGTGCCCCTCATGTCCACACCGCTGCAGCCCCCGCCCGGCATGCAGGCACCCCCTGGCCTCCTCCCTCAGCCCGCACAAGGCTTGCAGCAGCAACAGCAACAGCAGCAACAGCAACAGCCGCCAGGCATGGGCGGTATGGGTCAGATGCAGTCGATGCAGCAGCAGCAGAACCCTGGCATGATGAGGTCGTGGCAGCAGACGGCGCAGCAACAACAGCAGCCACAGATGTCTCAGGCTGGCCAGCCCCAGGCCCTCATGTCCATCAACAACGCTTCCACGTCTGGCTCAATGGGTAAGTGACCTGTTTTGTGTGTGTGGGGGGGGGGGGGGGGGTGTTCTGTCCTGTGTCCGTCAACAACGCTTCCACGTCTGGCTCAATGGGTAAGTGACCTGTTTTGTGTGTGTGTGGGGGGGGGGGGTGTTGTCCTGTGTCCGTCAACAACGCTTCCACGTCTGGCTCCATGGGTAAGTGACCTGTTTTGTGGGGGGGGGGGGGTGTTGTCCTGTGTCCGTCAACAACGCTTCCACATCTGGCTCCATGGGTAAGTGACCTGTTTTGTGGGGAGGGGGGTGTTGTCCTGTGTCCGTCAACAACGCTTCCACATCTGGCTCCATGAGTAAGTGACCTGTTTTGTGGGGAGGGGGGTGTTGTCCTGTGTCCATCAACAACGCTTCCGCATCTGGCTCCACATGGGTAAGTGACCTGTTTTGTGGGGGGGGGGGTGTTGTCCTGTGTCCATCAACAACGCTTCCACGTCTGGCTCCATGGGTAAGTGACCTGTGTTAGTTTGATTTTGTTTAAGGTTGTTTTTGTTTTGTCGTTTGTTTGTTTTTTGTCCCATGTCCCTATTTGGTGCCAGATATTTGTAGAAAATGTGTCACAAAGGTGGTAAATCTTATGATTCCGAAAAATACACACACCATCCACGCACACTCACACGTGCACACACACACACCCAACAGGCCCTCATGTCCATCAACCACGCTTCCACGTCTGGCTCAATGGGTAAGTGATCTTTGACGTTTTGTTTGGAGTTGTTGTTTTTGTTGGGTTTTTTGTCCCGTGTCCCTATTTAGTGCTGGATATTTGTAGAAAATGTGTCACAGAGGTAGTAAATGTTATGTTTCCAGAAAGTACTCACACACACACGCATACAGACACACACACACGCGCCCTAACCAAGAAATAGAAATATTGTTTCGACACTGTTGATGGTGATGATGAATGGGTCAACGTTCGTTGCAGCCTGTTTGTGCTTGTTGGTTGTTAGTCAAATCCGTTTTAGGGTGTGCGTATTTACGTGATCTTATTTTGGCAACTTGTGAAGGTGCAGCTAAACCTGCTGTAACAGTGGGTGATATGCCGGTGCTCTGGTGTGGTTTGCTCCTACTTTCCTATCAAACATCTATCATCATTCACTCTCCTCCTTTCCTTTGAATGTTACGTTTTTGTAGCACCTCTACTCGAATCCAGCACACATTTGACCTAATTGTGTTGCAAGTGCCGTAACACTCATTCATGCTGTGCTGCGTACAATTCAATCTGAGTGGGTGGTTGGCAGGTGCTCTGGTGTGGTTTGCTTCTTCTTTCCTATCAAACATCTATCGTCCTTATCTCCCCCTCCTTTTTTATGTTTGTTACTCTCTTGTAACACCTCTTATCTTCTGGCGCTCATATGACCTTATGCAGTTGCGAGCGCTGTAAAACTTCTTATAAAAAGTTTTTAAAAATTCAATCTGATTGTGGTTGTCGGATGTTGTTGAAATCCCTTTTTGGGTGTATGTATTACATCTTGTCACTTGAGCTAGTCATGAAGGTCATGTGTCGCAACTGATGGTGGAAAACATTTTTTCACTGTTTGGAAAGATTCCAGTGTGGGTGGTTGGCGGGTGCTCTGGCATGGTTTGCTCTGTCTTTCCTATCAAACATCTACCGTCCTGATCTCTCCTCCTTTTTTATGTTTGTTACTCTCTTGTAACACCTCTAAATCTTCGGCACTTGTGTGACCTTTTTGTGTTGCAAGTGCCGTAAAACTCCTACTAAAACGAAGAAGGTATGTGTGTTGCGACTGATTGTAGAAAACATTTTTTCACTGCTAGGACAGATTCCAGTGTTTGTGTGTATGAGCACAGATCAGACGCGTGTCTAAGGATGTTTGTTTTTTTATCAAGGCCTGAATAGCAAATCTGTTGTCTATCTGTGTTGGGTATGATGAATACCAATTATGTTGTTATGGGACACTTGATTTGAACAATAAAAGGTAAAATGAGAACTATAACTATCCAGCTTGAATTGATTAGGGGATGCTCTGGTGTGGTTTGTGTCATCTTTGCTATCAAACATCTATTGTCCTTACTTATCTCTCCTCCCTCTTTTAAATTTTGTGTATGTTACTCTCTTGTAACACCTCTAATCTTTGGCACTGATATGACCTTATTGTGTTGCAGGTGCCGTAAAACTCTTACTAAAACTAAACTGTGTCCCCCCCCCCCTGTCTAAGTAAGACCACCACTTTTCTCTTTGACAATGGGTGGCTGTCTTCAAACAATCTGAACTGTACCCTTACCTTCTCGTCGTGTTTGTAATGGAGATGTTGTGTTGTTTGTTTCAGTCATTCCTCCCCCGCCACCGTCAGTTCTGGCCCCGCCCCCTCCGCCGCCCACCAGCCAGGTCCAGGCCGCCCCTCCCTGGATGCAGCAACAGCAGCAGCAAGCAGGTAAGCCCCCGTTACTCGGCTCCCCACCACCGTCAGCGACGCTGCTACCTCCGCCTCCTCCTCCTCCGCCCGCTGTCTCCTCGCCAGGTGGAGCCCCCGCGACCAACGCCGTCGCCATGCAGCAACAGAACCTTATGAATATCCAGGCGCAAGTCTTGCAGCAGAGCGGCACAGGCATGACGTCTCAGCCGGACGGTATGACAGGCGGGCAGAACAACCAAGGCCTGATGATGATGATGAACCAGGGACAGTTTGGGAATCAGGGAAACGCTCCCAATATGGTGCAGGGCTTGGGGAATATGAGAAACCCTCAGGGGTCGGGGAACTTTCCCCCCAACGCTAACAATATGTTTGATCAGGGTGGTAATAATAATGCTCAAAGGCCGCAGCTTCTGAATCGAGGCGGTCAGTCTTTTGGTCAGGGGATGCAGCAGCAACAGCAGCAGCAGCAACAACAACAGCAGAACCAGATGAACCAGATGGGGGGAGGAGGCGGGGCGAACCAGGGTCCTCGCCACATGATGATGATGGGTCAGGGCGGGGGCGGTCCCCCAGGGAACATGATGGGCAACCAGAGGAATAACTCGATGATGTCCATGCAGGGCGGGAACAACAACATGCCCCGGCCCGACGGGGGGGGCTTCAATCCCATGATGCTTCAGGGGGGCGCGCAGGGGAACAATAACAACTTCCAGGGGATGATGATGAACAGAGGTGGGCCCCAACAGCAGCAGATGATGGGCCAGGGGGCCAATGTCCACAATATGCAACGGAATCAGCAGAACATGCAAAATCAAATGAACCCACAGAGGATGGGGAACCCAAACTGGAATTGAATGTCTCGTGAGTTTGACCAGTGAGACAGTTCCTGCTTTGTTCTTGTGATAGATTTACTGGTCGCGGTTGACCTTTTGGGGGTTCAGCTGCAGAAGTTCAAATGGCCACTTTGGAAAGGGACGTATAGTGGAGTCTGCTTAAACCGAAATCTGCGGGACCACCGGATTTTCTTCGGTTTAGGTGCATTTTTAGTTTAGAGAATTTGCTTTTTTAAAAATGGGGATTTTTTCTTTCAGTTAACCTCTGTTTATGGATTAACTGTGTTCGCTTTAAGTGGACTCCGCTGTAGCTTTCCGAACGTTAGTCTGTTTGTGATATTTGCCTTGTCATGTACTGTGGTGTTCTCACAGATGTCTCTCATGTTGTCTCACACTGTCCATTCTGAGAACAGTTGGAACAGGGATGGATTGTGACTTGCTTTGCTCACAGTCAGTCTGATTTATGTGTAGTCATTTCATGAAAAGTATCTTTTGTCGTACTATTTCATATCTCTGGTCCTATGGCCATCTGACTCTTTTACTGTTCAAATGTAATTTTGATTTTTTTAATGCATGGAAACTAGTGACAGAATGCTGACTTGGTGTGTTCAGGGTAGTTTCCCTTCTCCTTGGACATGAAGACAGCCGTGCAACTTGAGAATCAAAATGATTTGTTTCTGATTCTTTTCCCAGAGCAGTATTGATCTGTTGATTGGAAAATGAAATGTTAGATGATAAAAAGTATTATTCAGTATTTTTCCTACATTTGTACTGGAGGTTGTAGACTGCCTTTTCTTCCTCCCTCCCCCTAATTCGGTTTGTCATCCTTTTTTCCTGCCGTTTCTAGTTGTAGATTTTTGTTGTGCTGAGTATAAAAATCATCAAATTCCAGGAACATATTTTTTTGTGTGGAACAAACTCAGTGAATAGATTTTCATTTATCCGTTAAAATTGATTTGGGAGCTTCATCGTTTGTGAAAAATAATCTCTCATTTTGCAGAGTATGGAAACTCATTTTGTTTGTCTAAATGTCCAAGGCAGCTTTTATTAAAGCATGCACAGGTGGATTCAGAGTAATTGTTGGCTTAAACGTGGCGATCCCAGTAGTGCTGCATTCAAGTCCCACTTATCTCCCCCTTGTGAGAGAAACTTTCGACCCTCTAGTTTGTTGTAATGCAATCTCCCAACTCTTCACTGCTGGGTTGTCCCTCTCTCCGTGGTTCGTCTACTCTGAAGACACTGCTGTGCCAGATGCTCTTTTCAATGGATTTTTGTTGATACTGTTTGCAAGTCGCCCATTTTGTCAGTTACAATTAACGTAACTGTTAAGCAAAAAGAAGGTATATTTTCCTATTTGCTGAGTTTGAATAGTTAACACACTGACTACCAGAGATTCTGTCCGGATCTGGACTATTTTTTATTATAATCTAACTTCAGAGCAGTTATGTGGATGGTTATCAAAAGATTCTTCCTTATTAGATCAGTTGGGTTTTTTGTTTGTTTTTTTAAGTTTAATTTTTCTCCCCTGGTTATGAAAATGAGTTTGTGCATCGAGTGACCGTGTGTTGCTTCCACTTTGCAGAAACAGGTGCTCCATATTTCTAAATAAATATTTCTTGTGTGGTCACCGAGGGCTATTTTTATCTTCTTTGATAGTCAGTGAGCTAATATTATTCACACTGTTATATTGCATTCCCAAGCTTATGTATTGTCAGTTTTCAGTCACAATAGAAGTATATCATTCAGAAAGTACAGAAGTATATCTCATCATTATATTCAGTGCAATCGTTCATGTATATGATGACCATGTGATACATTTGGGGTGGAACAATTTTGTGCCCAGAACGCTTGCATAATTCTATTGTTCAAGCATTAGATATTGAATGTGGATATCTATTTTCCTTTTGCGTGAGTGGCGTGTTTTTGTTTGTTTTGTTGTTGGTTTTTTTGTAGTTTTTTTTTTGTTTTTTTTTGTGCGCTACTTTTCTGATACTGCTGACTTGTGTGCTTTTCTTTCCTTGCGTAGTTGAGTGATTGTCGTAAGTTGTATGCTGTTTTCACGTACTATGCTGCAGTGTGATCCCTCTAGTTATGCTGCTACTTCTCTTTGGTTTTATAGTTCTTCTTTAATTTGGGTTTCATTTTATGCATGGAAGCGAAAAGGAAAAGACAAGAAACAAGACAAGTACTTCTTCCTTGAAAATATTTGTCTTTTGCTTCTGTGAAGCACGATCAATTTCTTGTTTGGGAGTGGGGTGGTTATAAGTTCCAGTAAAGTTTTCATAAACTGTTTTGTAAGCAGAACTGCTATCACGTGCCATGTTCTCATGATGCGTTTTGTGTCATTTGGAAATAAGTCTTCAACAATCAGGGAGGAGATATCTGGTGCGGGGTTATATCCTGACTTTAATCATCATTTTGTGTCCTGTACGTTCCATAAAGAGTTTTTGCAGCAGTAGACTGATCACTGCTGCTGTGTGGTAGTGAGGAATGAGGCATTGACAGACTTGCACGTTGTCATTGAGTGCAGCTAGCCTTTAACTGCCAGTTGCTAGCAGTACAAAGACTGGACTACATGCCCCTTTTTAAAATAAATTTCTTAAGTTGCTTTTGTTGTTCTTATTTTGTTTTGCATGTGTGCTTATTAAGCTGAAAAGACTTCTAAGGACCCAAGTAACCATTGAGCATCACTGACTGCAGCATATTATTATTTTGTCTGCTTCGTTCCCAGGAGATTTTATTACCTTGTATCCGGTTTCAGTTTAGAGTAGATGGCTTGTATGCATGACAGGAGAACAAACCTGGGCCGTGGTAGGACTTTAGACTTCAATTCTGGTCCCAGATCATTCAGTTTGTGATAGTTCTAAGTAATCTAAGAGCCGCTTGGTTCCATGCTCATCAAATTTTAACTGTTTCAAAGTTTCCAAGTGTGGATTGTCCCACAGGCATACCCCTGTATCATTACAAACTGTCTTGTAATCTTTTATGATCATGATAATAAATAGGATTGTGTTGCCCCGAGAACTAGTTTGTCCGTAGTACGCTTTGGACAAAATAGTTCTGGGACTACAGGTTTCAATCTTTTCTGTCTAGTGGGAGATAAAAACTATGTCATTTTAACTTTTTAAGTGTGGGAATTTGACTCAGAAAGTGGCGCCCCTACTGCTGCTAGAATTGTCTGCGTACTAACATTGCTTCTACTTACCTTTCTCTGTTTCTTACTTACGTCCTGTAGCTTTTTAGAAGTTTTTTAAATTCTCATCGTGAAAAATATTTCATTATTTGTGTGTCTTACCAGTATGCCAAAATGCTTTTATAGTTAACTTGTCAGTTGTTTTGTTTTTGTTCCGGTTTGTTTGTTGTTTTTTTTTAAACTTTTTAATCAGTCGAGGATAGCCTAGTACATTGATGTCTGGGTTATCTTGTCTATAGACTGAATGTTTTTCATCTCTTCATATATGTGAGGTTTAAGGGTAGCATTCATACTTTTGGTCATTACCTTAATGTTTCATTCTCATTTATTTGATCCAGATTATTTCAGAGTTGTCAAACATTTGTTCCCCAACCACTTCATTGCTATCAATTTTCACTTCTTTGTTTTTAGTTTGTTGTTGATATCTAAGCATGGTTTGTTTTATTTTGAATTGAAAGTTGTATGGTGTTCTTGGCATTTCTGTTTGCCTTTCATTTTGATCAAGATTTCCTTTTTTTATGTACAATTTTTTCCTTCTTCTTGTGATGGAAAAAAATCTTCTGTACTTGTCAATTTTTGTTCATATTTGCTCAAATACAGTACCATTACTGATGACATTTGCTGGAACAAAAAGCTACAGAAATCGCGTTGGTAGAAGAATTTAATTAAGACTTTTGTGGTTGGGTGATAGGCTCGTGGAAGGAAAACTTGAGGTCTGTTGTTAAGTGTGCTCTCTGATTCTCCCAACCCGTCCTCCTCCCCCCTTCCTCCTCCTGTACTTTGTATGCAGGCCCGTGCATGGTGTTGATGTGTTTGTCGCTGTCGTAGCCTCGCAGCATGTGAGTGTGGGCTTGTTGAGTAATCCCAGGCAGGTCCTACCGTAACCCAGTAACAGTGAGCCAGCAAACACCTCCTCCATACATCTATAGACGAGTGGGTGGTCGGCAGGTGTTCTGGTTTGGTTTGCTCCCTCTTTCCTGTCACATCTATCGTCCTTATCTCTCCTCCTTCTTTTTTGTATTTGTAACTCTCTTGTAACACCTCTTAATGTTTGGCACTGATATAACCTTATTGTGTTGCAAGTGCCGTAAAACACTTACTAAAACTAAAGTGGTTTGCTCCTTCTTTCCTTTCAAACATCTTTCATCCTTATCTCTCCTACTTTTATTGGTATGTTACTTTCTTGTAACACCTCTTAATCTTCAGCTCGCCAAATATATTGTGTTGCAAGTGCCGTAAAACTTTCACTTGAACTAAACTTTTATCTAAAAAGATGTGGTGTCCTGGCTTGTGATTGTCCCCAATGCAGTAGCTTAACCTTACACTACTTACAGCACTGGGCTATTTATAGCACTCACTACCTGTGATGCGGGTCGTACGAGGGGGCTTCTTGACTTGACTTCACACACTGAGCCAAAACTCACTGTGCCTGCAATTATTTTCAGACATTTTTTTTTTTAAAGAGAAATTTCTAGACCTGCTTTTGTTTAAAGTTTTAGAAGATAACTTGTTGAAAACTTTTCTGACAATTGGATGGGTTACCCTAAAAACACCTGTCTGGGTTTTTGTTGGCTTGTGCCCGCCAAGGGAAAAACCGTATTGGGCTTGGGTTCGGGTAGAAGTCATGACGGAAATACAATTGAAATTCTCCAAGATGGCCAGCCGTTGTCCTAGATGGAAAGCTGTTAAAACAGGTTGGACTGAACACGTAGCTGGGACTGTGTAAGGGTTAAGATAGCCTGCTCATTGCAACACACACTAGAGGGTTAAAACTGGCCGCTCACTCAAGCACTCACTAGATGGGTTAAGGTAGTCTGTTCACCGAATCACACTAGAGTGGTTGGTGGGTGCTCTTGTATGATTTGCTCCTTGTTTCCTATAAAGAGTCTGTCTCTATCTCCCCTCCTTCTTTTTTGTGTTTGTTACACTCTTGTAACACCTCTAATCTTCAGCACTTATCTGACCTTATTGTGTTGCGAGTGCCGTAAAACTCTTACTAAAACTAAACACTAGAGGGGTTAAGATAGTCCGTGTGGCGTGGTTTGCAGGTGCTGTGGTGTGGTTTGCTTCTTCTTTCCTATAAAACATCCATCGTCCTTATCTCTCCTCCTTTGCTGTGTATGTTTCTCTCTTGTGACAAATCTATTTTTTTGGAACTGGAACACACGCTAGATGGGTTAAGACTGGCCCTTTCACAGACCACACACTATTGGGTTAAGATAGTCTGCCCATTGAAGCCACCCACTAGACAGGTTTAGATAGTCGGCTCAGTCTGCCCACTGAAGCCACCCACTAGACAGGTTTAGATAGTCGGCTCACAGAAGCTCTTCTTCTTCTTCTTCTTTTTCTTCTTCTTCTTCTTCTTCTTCTTCTTCTATCCCGTGGGGGCACCACTTCATCTGAAACCCAGCTCTCGCCATCTATTTTTGTCCTCTGCTTTCCTCAGATTGTCACCCATCGTCTTTCCTGTCCACTCTGTAATGTTGTCCTCCCATCTCCTTCTCTGCCTTCCTCTCTTTCTCCTTCCTTGTACGGTTCCCTGTTTTGGCAAGTCCTGTGGGTCTTGTGACATGCCCATACCATCCAGTAGAGGGTTAAGTAAGATAGTCAGCCCCCTGAAGCCACCCACTAGACGGTTTTAGATAGACGGCTCACAGAAACCACCCACTGTAAGATAGACGGCTCACAGAAACCACCCACTGTAAGATAGACGGCTCACAGAAACCACCCAGTAGAGGGTTAAGTAAGATAGTGTGCCCACAGAAAGCACCCACTGTAAGATAGTCGGCTCACAGAAACCATCCAGTAGAGGGTTAAGTAAGATGGCTCACAGAAAGCACCCACTGTAAGATAGTCGGCTCACAGAAAGCACCCACTGTAAGATAGTCGGCTCACAGAAACCATCCAGTAGAGGGTTAAGTAAGATGGCTCACAGAAAGCACCCACTGTAAGATAGTGTGCTCACAGAAAGCACCCACTGTAAGATAGTGTGCTCACAGAAAGCACCCACTGTAAGATAGTGTGCTCACAGAAAGCACCCACTAGAGGCAACAAAGAGAGAACCTGTTGTTGTTTCTTCCCCCTCCAGGTAACATGGGCCTGCCGCCTCCGCAACCACCGCCTCCGCCGCAGCATCCTCCGTGCACGTCCACGGCCCCGTGGCAACAGCAGCCGGTACCACAGATGGCCCACCCGCCTCCGCCCGTCTCTCTCGCCCCTTGGCAGCACCCACAGCAACAGCAGCAGCACCCTCAGCCTCCCCCGCCCCCCAGCATCCTGTCGGCCCCGCCTCCCCCCGGCCCAGTGCAGCCCCCTCCCCTCATGGCCTCGGCCGTGCCTCCCCCTCCCCCCCAGTCCACCGCCGCGGGTCCACAGTTCACCAGTTTTGCCCCTCCACCCCCGCCCCCGATGGGGTTTAACGCCCAGCGCATGGCTGCGGGGATGAACCCTTTGATGATGGGAGGGCCCCCTCCCCCGCCACCCCCCAGCTAAAAGTAGCCCCTTCTGTCTCCCTCAGGCTAAGGGTAGTCCCGTCTCTCTCCCCAAAGTAAATTGTAGGGCCCACGCTCTCCCTCCCCCCGCCACCCCTCAGGCTAACGGTAGCCCCATCTCCCTCCACCAAGCTAAGGGTAGTCCCCTTCTGCCTCCCCCGCCACACCCCAGCTAAAGGTAGCCAACCCCATCTCCCTCCCCCCCCCCCCCAACTCCATCCCTCATTTCCCACAGGCTAAGAGTAGCCCCATCTCCCTCCCTTGTCTCGTCCCCCGGTCTGAGGGTAGCCCCCTCACTCCCTGCCCAAAGTTAATGGTAGAGCCACCTCTCTCCCTCCCCCAAATGGTAGAGCCCCCCTCTCTCCGTCCCCCAAGCTACCAAGCTAAGGATTGTCCCCCCTCCTTTCCCTCCCCCAAGCTACCAAGCTTAGGATAGACCCCCTCTCCACCCGAAATCCATGGTAGGGCCCCCTCTCCCTCCCCCAAGCCAAGGGTAACGGACGGGTGTAGAGGACAGCCAGCTAGTGTCTGTGTAAAGAATGAGTAAAGAACAGTGGGCTGAGCCCACAATGTCTGTCTCCAGCAACACTACAGCAAAGAGAAAATCCCTACTGTGTAGCGACCGCTCTCTTGTACAGGGAAACCGTGTCCCCTCCCCATGTGTAGATGTGTGCTTTCTGTGTCTCTCCGTATGTTACTTAGTGTGCTACTGTAGTACATGTTCAACACACCATGTACTTTCGCACTGTCCGTTATGAGTTAAGGACTAAGGGGGTGATTTTTGGAGAGCTTTGAATCCTGTTTGCATCTCATGTATCTCGACTGAAATTAACTTTCTCTCTCTCTCTCTCTCTCTCTCTCTCTCTCTCTCTCTCTCTCTCTCTCTCTCTCTCTCTCTCTCTCTTTTAGGAAGGCACCACTGGTGGGTCCTACTTCTTTTCTTTCTCTTTATGTTTCTGTCTTTCTGTCTTGCATCCTCCCTGCACTACTTCATACTATATAATTCATTGTCAATGTACTTCTCTTTACTGTAAAACTCGTTCCCTTTTTTTCTCAAATTTGGGTTTTGATGAGACATGGAAGGACTGACACTTAGGAAGCGCAAAATATAATTGTTGGTTGTACCGTAATACTCCTATGATCAAATAACTTGTGTTCTCCAGGTATATATATATAAGAATATGTCGATATACCGGTATGAATGATTTCAATATAACATAACATGTATTTCTTTTGGCTCACTGTGGTAGCGTAGAGTGGCACGAGTGGTCTCAGTTCTGGTACTGTACTTCAACCATCCATCGTATTACTTATTACCGAATTTGTTCCTCTGATTTTCGTTCTTTCTTTTTTTCCTGGGGGTTTTTTTCTGTGGATTTAGGGTTTGTTAATGGCTTTAATTTGTTCTATTTCATGATGTTGTCGAGATTGTCTTTTTTTTTTTTTTTTTTTTTTTTTTTTTTTTTTCCTCTCATTGCTGTTTACTTTTTTTTAATTAGTTTTTTTTTTTTTCCAAAATCTTTTTTCTGGTTATTCTGGTGTTGTTTTTGGATAGCTGTGAGATTTGTTGACCTTTGTTCAATTGTTGACTGTTTTATTTTCACTTTATATTATATACCTTTTATTATGGATGGATTTTTTTTTTCCTGTACTGGAGTTGGTCTTTGTTGCTCGAAATGATTTCTCTCAAAGCCTGGAGGAAGGCCGTAGAGTGGATTCTCTGCAGGCTTTTTCTCTCGCATGTTTTTTCCTGATGTGTGAGTGAGTGAGCCCACCAGTGGTAAAGTTCACCTCACAACTTGATGATTAAATCCTGTGACAGAGATTGACGTGGACTGTGTTGTTGATTCTGTTGAGAGGTTTAGTTTTTGTTTTAGTAGAGGTTTTACGGCGCTCGCAGCTGCATAAGGTCATATGAGCGCCAGAAGATTAGAGGTGTTGCAAGAGAGTAACAAACATAAAAAAAGAAAAAGGGGAGATAAGGATGATAGATGTTTGATAGGAAAGAAGAAGCAAACCACACCAGAGCACCTGCCAACCACCCACTCTGTTGAGAGGGGGAAGGGTACTTGTGAAACTTACTGGACAGTGTTGTGTGTTGTCAGGTGGGTGGTTGGCAGGTGCTCTGGTGTCGTGTGCTCCT